AAAAATAAAGCACGATAATGCTATGATATGAATACAAATTGCGAAACTGTAATCTATTGAAGTATAATTCTTTTTTCGTTCCATTTCTCGAGTAATATTCTCCGTCATCTCACGCAAAATAGCGACTAAAAGCGTTTGGTTCATCACTTCTCTTTGTTATTTTACCTATAAAAGATTAGCTAGGAACCGAATACATTTTAGTATTTTACTGACCTTGAACGAGATGAGAGTCTTGTTGCTATGCTACGCTGTCTTTACTACCTGTTCGGACTTGTCGACGATAGTCGCCGCGCTGCCCGAGGAAGGTGTGATTGAATATTTACAAAAATTCGGATTCCTTTCACCTAACGACAACGAATCTTTAACGCAGATCAATGCGTCCAGTTTGCAACTCTAATGCTCTAATGCTCTAATGGATTTTCAGGATTTCTATAATTTACCGGTGGATGGTACTTTTAATAACGAAACCGTCGAACTAATAAATAAACCCCGATGTGGTGTAATAGAAAATGCCTTCACGACTGTTTCGCGATGGCAGAAAACGGATTTAAATTGGTATATTCAAGTACCGCCCAGTCACTATCAAGAGTTAAAAGTGCTGGCAACCGAGGTTTTTAAAATATGGAGTGATGAATCAAATTTAAATTTTTTCTTAAATTACTCAGAACCGGATATAATGATTTTGATGTCTGACAAATATACTACCCACAGACATAGCATAAGATGTAAAGGGAACGAAACCTGCCCTTTTGCTTTCGACGGAAGGGGTAACATATTAGGACATGCATTTTTTCCAAATCAACAACAAGAGTGCGTTGAAGTTCATTTGGATAAATCCGAAGATTGGTACTACGGTTTAGAAGTGCCTGCGCCCGTAGGAAAGACGAGCTTGTTTACTGTGTTGTTCCACGAAATTGGACATACGTTGGGTTTGGCGCACAGTAACGATCGCAATGCCATTATGTACCCTTGGTATAGCTTAAATTCTAAGACATTGTCATACGACGATGTTGCAGGTCTTCAACGTTTATATGGTAAAAAAACCACAACCACCGCCCGCGTAACAACTCCCACTACAACAACAACAACAACAACAACAACTACCACTACCACTACTACTACAACTACGAAACCTCCGATAGGGAAAAACGAAACAAAAGTACCAGATTTGTGTCACGTAAATCCATCCATATTTTTGGTTACGTCTAACCATCATATGTATCTATTTTACGACAAATGGGTTTGGATAATAAGATTAGGTGATAAAGTCTACATGGAACCTAAAATGATATCAGATTATGTCCCTATTTACGCTCCTATTTCGCATATCTACCAAAGACCCAACGGACAACTTTTGGTAGTCACCGGTGATTCGTTTTATTTACTTCACTTTCCGAGTTTCACGGTAGTGGGCGACCGACAAAGCGTCCAGCGATTGGGTGTGCCTGCGGGTAAAACAGTGAACGCCATTTTTAATACGTATGGCGGTCGAACGTATATATTTTACGGTAAACGCTACTATGCAGAAATAGACGAGTGTTTTTTGAGTGCGAGTGAACACGGTTTTACTACGGAACTGTTTCCGGGTCTGCCCGAGGATTTGTCGGGCGCGTTTCGATACACCAACGGACATTTGTATTTTTTCAAAGAGAAAACGTATTACGAATACAACGAATTTTTGAATAAATTAACGAGAGTCGGTGAAATAGACTTGAGTCTTGTCGGAATTAATTGTCCCACAGAGAGTGTCTTTAAACAAATTAGGGATTTGTTAAGAAAGTTATCGATCTTTCACAACAATGAATAAGAAGATAGTTTTCTTCGACGATTTTAGAAGCTTGGATACCGAACAACTTGAATTGATTCCTGTGCAACATTTTTTGGAGCATGTGAGACCGCACGATTTGTTAAATATGTGGCATAAGTTACCAGTACGACATCGCAACAATTTTGAATTGCAAACTCATTTGCCCTGCTTTGTTCACTATAACAGACCGGACAGCAAAATGCATATCGACGGCCCGGCACCTCCCCAGAATAAATGTCATTATTGTTTGAGTGTTATAAAAGCAGTTACCGAGATCTATAATAGATTCATTCGGGCTAGAAACATGGTTTTGTTAAGTGCTCACTTTGTTTTGTTGTCGGCTGTGGTACAAAACGTTTTCTATATACATAAACCTAAGGATGTGATTGAAGCGTTCGTTTGTTTCAAAAATCATAATAATCATTGCATTTGGCCCGAAACATGGACGCGTATGCAACTCGTTCAGGTCAACGGAATCGACAAGCTACAAACTTTTAGCGTGACATTGTCGAATAACACTACCGCAGATAAGCCGTATTTAAATTACAAGGTAATAACACCAGCGGCGGCGTTAACGACAATTGCGGTAACGAATACAACATCTCGGCAGATCGAAAAACTAGTTTAATCCCGCTATATGTAACTACGTGCGCTTGTTTGCTTCTTTTGGCAAAATGCTTATTCAAATTGACTAAATGTAAATATCTCGCTTAATTACACCGATAGTGGGGGGTTGTTGATATATAAGTACATTTGAATTTGATACCGAAGTCAGTCTGTTTGTCGCAATGTGTAACAAAGTGGTCACTATCGATGAAAACACGATTTTCAAAATAAAGAATTCAGGTGTCCGTTTCATCTTCAAGAACAAGCACATAGATTTTCAAGTCCAGGATTTTTGGGATTTTTTGTTCTTTCTGGGGGACGAGGTGGGAGAAATCATGTTCTGGAACGACATAACAGTCTACATCGGGAGCAGTATCGAGGTGACCTATTCGAACGACGAAGAGAGCTGTGAGTTGATACTGAAACAGGATCATGGCGACGAAATTATCCTCGACCGCCATGAAGTAGAAAATCTCATGGACCAGAAACACCGCTTGTACGAAGCACTACGTTGTCTACATATGAGTTAATAAATATTTGTTATTGTATCTATAGTTTTTCTTTTATTAAACCGTGATTATTGAGACACTCTGTATAAGTCACTCGACTTGTTTACCGACGACCCGATCCCCCGCGTCACCGCGCCACACCGTCTCCGCGCCGCACCGTCACCGCCCTCTACCGGGGGGGGCCTACGACGGTCGGAGCGCGCGACATCTAGCAGCGACGGGCGGAACCGGGGCAAAACAGGACGCTACACAAGCTGGGTGGGGGGCGGAGCGCACTCTGGTAGCCAGGGGGTACACTAGGACGCCACGCGCGGGGGGGCCCGCTGCGGGGGGTTAGGAAATTGAGGTTATGTGCGGTTTTTGCTGCTTATATCTACCTGGAAGATTTTATTGAAACTATGTTGAGTAATAGAAATAAATATATTTCAGAAGAAAAATTTATGTCTTCGCCGTACCTGGCAGCAAGATAAAGTGGGGCAAAAGTGATGTCGCCATTAGAATGCTAACAAAAAAAAAATGAGTTGCAGAATCCAGATGCTATTTCTAGCAACAAATTACGAAAGCACATCGCTACTGTCATGCAAATACTTAATATGACACCAAACGAAACGAAGCAATTTGCGAATTTTATGGGCGATACCCAGAAAACTCACGATGAATACTATGAGTAAGATATTTTTTAAATCTTAGTTTTGTTAATGACAACTAACAAACAAACAAACTAACAAACAGTTTAAACTAAGTTTTTTTCTGTCAATATTTTAATTGCAATTGTAATTAATTTGCAATATCAAATATCAAATGGATAAGCACATATCGAAATATACACAGGCAAAATTATCGTATCTCTTAAAATGCAAGAATTTGTAGTTACGGGGGGACAATTTCTAATAATCGTATTGCAATCGCGTATGTTAAATAGGAGTAACAAAATTTCATTTTTACTTTTTTGTTTTATTAACATAAATTTACAATGTTTAAAAACCAAGCTGTAATATTTAATATGTTTTTATTTAATTTAATATCTCAATCATTAATGAAAGTAAGTGGAATCACACAAAAAACTTGAGGATAAATTTAACTGACCAAAAATTGCCCCACCCTGTAGATATTTAACATCACCAAAAATATTGAGCTTCCACAAAAGAGTAAACGTTTCAGATCCCAAAAAAAAGTGTTCGCAGCCATGTTTCTACGAACTTTAAATTATAGGTACTTAAGGTTGAGTTGCTGACTAGTTCTTTACAAAAAAGGTAATTTCTTTTCGCGGAATGACCACCGATATGAAAAGAAAATGGGCGGCGAGCTCGAAAGAGCTTTAAAGTGGACTGTAGGCTTTAAAAATTTAGAAATACTACCGATCGCCAAACGGGCCGCTAAAGAACTTTAAGGTCTCACCTTAAGCGCACGCCTCCGTCTCCTCAGCAGGCCTGCTTCCTCTTTGCTGTAAGTTTTGCTACTCAATTCGCAGAACTTACTGGTGTTACGCCACGGACAACATAAAAACGCACAACGAAAATCTTTAGAATTAAAGTTCCCTTCGCGGAAAACGCGCAACAGATCTCGCTGCTGCCGCACACGGAATGTTAATAGCACTCCCGATCGGCGTGACCCAAAAAAAACTTTAACGGCAATACCGCGGTAAAAAATGTTCCAGAAACTTAAATTTTTATTTGAGTACGCACAAAATTATTTGTCCCAAAAACCCGACTAAACATAAGAAAACTTTCTCTCTTTGCAAATCACCAAAAAATAAAATAATAAAAAAAAATTATGTATATACAAGGACAGACGTGCGATCTCTCCATAACCGCCCACCACAATACGCAGTATTGTCATGGGTTGATAGGCAAGGGACACAACTTAATCACGGGGCGTTTGAAAACGCCAGTGCTTGTCCGGACGGTAGCCACTCGGACGACACCATCAGGTTCGGGATGGACTTCGCTTAAACGAGCAATGGGCCATTGTAAAGGAGGTGAGTTGCTCTGTTTTATAATCACTAAAGCGCCCGGTTTACATTTGCAGAGAGACTGTTCCATTTGGCTCTTTGGAGCGTATGGAGATATTCTTTAGACCATCGAGTCCAGATCTGTTGGTGAAATTTGGAGAGAAGCTGCCAACGAGAAAGGCGATTGGGACGTGTTGCACGAGGTCCTCGGGAGGGGCGTTCAAAGGCTCCATTGTGAGGAAGTGCCCGGGCGTTAAAACATTCAAGTCGTTCGGATCCTCACTTAGAGGGCATAACGGACGCGAATTCATTATCGCTTCAACTTGGGTGAATAAAGTGTAGAGTTCCTCAAAAGTTAATACCTGTTCCCCAATCGTACGGGCTATGTGACCCTTAACCGTTTTGATGTTGGACTCCCATAGTCCTCCAAAGTGTGGAGATGAGGGGGGAATAAAGTGCCACTTAATGTAGTGGTGATTGGCGGCGGTTTCAGCCAGCCTGTTTAATTCTTTACTTGCCCCAGAAAAGTTTGTGCCGTTGTCGCTATGAATGTTATCGCATCTGCCGCGGCGGCTGACAAATCGTTTAAAGGCAGCTAAGAATGCGCTCGTGGACAGATCTGACACTAGCTCCAGGTGAACAGCCTTGGTGGAGAAACAAATAAAGAGTGCTAGGTATGCTTTAAGGATCGGTGCCTTTCGAATCCTGGACATTAAAATTGGGAAAGGTCCTGCGAAATCGACGCCGACGGTGCTGAAGGGCTTAAGTTCGGAAATGCGCGCTATGGATAAGTTTCCCATTAAAGGAACAGGCGACGTGGGGTTTACTCGAAAGCATTTGACGCATTTGGACAAAACCCTTCGGATTGCTCGTTTTGGAGAAAGAATCCAGAAACGCTGGGAAATTTGGACAGTTTGGATGCCGGCGTGTAAATACTGTACATGAGTCGACTCGATAATCATCTCAGTTAATCGGCACTGGCTAGGAAGTAACGCAGGAAATTTACGTTCGTAGGAAATGGTTGCTTGGCTTAATCGTCCACCCACTCTCAAAGTTCCAACATCGTCAAGAAATGGAGATAGTTTCCTGAAATTTTTAGCAAGAGGTTTACCATCCTTAAGAAGACGGAGTTCGTGACTAAAAAATAGGTCTTGCGAGCGTCTTACGAAAATTAACAGAGAATTGTAACTCTCGAAGGATGTCAGAAAACCGGTTTCCAATTTATTCGATTTACGCAAGTAATGCACGTAACGTACCAAATAACTCAGCGACCGAACACATTTGTTTAAGGATGAAGAGTTCTCGAGCATGGTGTCTAGAAAATTTGTGGAAGCTTGGGTGGTATGGAGGTTTAAGGTGCGAGCCTCCAATTCGTGGTCGTGGACGTCGGTGGGGTCACGTTCTAAAATAATGGGATTGCAATGCAAAAAGGATGGCCCCGCCCACCATAGAGAACTGTTCACTAACTCGGAAGGTAAATAACCACGGGATCCAAGGTCAGCGGGGTTCTCTCTAGATGAGACATAATGCCAACTGGAAGGATTAACTCTTTCCTGAACAAAAGACACCCTGTTACTGACGAAAGTCTTCCAACGGTGCGGAGAAGATCTCAACCAACCCAGAGTAACCGTGGAATCAGAGTAACAGAAAATATCTGTAACTTCGATATCGGATGACTTAATAGCCGTGGCCACAAATGACACCAAGCGAGCCGCTAACACGGCTGCACATAATTCCAGACGCGGAATTGATACTATTTTCTTGACAGGCGCGACTTTAGATTTAGCCGTTACGAAATGAAGGACGGGTGAGGCTGACGACGTTAAACATCGAAAGTATAACACAGCGCAGTAACCTATTTCACTAGCGTCGCCAAAGCAGTGAATTTCCAATTTGGACATCTCATTAGGTAAAAGGCGTCTCGCAATATTTAGATTTCCAAGGACAGAAATTTCGGATACGTACTTCTCCCACCAACGAACCACATCGTTGAGGGTTTGTCGTCCCAACCGATTTTTTGAGACCAAATTTTTTGAATGATATGCTTAGTGAGGAGAGTGACGGGAGATAGAAAGCCTAAGGGGTCGAATATCCGTGCTAAGTTGGACAAAAGGAGTCGCTTCGTGCAACCGGAATCAAAAGCCTTCACTTTAAATCGGAAGGTATCGGATGGAGCATCCCATTCTAATCCTAAAACCCTTAGAGTCGGGGAAGACAGTTTGCTTACAAATTCAAGGGGGTTAATCGCCAGATCGGATGTCAGAATTCCCTCCAATACGGCGGGACTTACTGGACCATTTCTTTAACTCGAAACCGCCCGTGTTTAATAATGCGATGAGTTCATCGCGCAAAGCTAAAGCGGTTTGGATCGAACAACAAGAGACGACAATATCGTCAACGTAGGTGTTCCTTTTAAGGGCTTTGGCAGCTAGGGGATATTTATGCCCTTCCTCGACCGCCAATTGGTGCAGATATCGTATTGCGAGGTAAGGCGAACAAGAAAGACCGTACACGACTCGGTTTATTCGAAAGTCCTTTACAGGCTCGTTAGGCGTGTTGCGCCAAAGAACTCGTTGGTAGTCCGTATGAAGCGGATTAACCAAAATTTGACGATACATTTTGGAAATGTCGGCGGTCAGAATACAACTGAATAAACGAAAATTTAATAATATTGTAGATATATCACTCTGGAGTTTTGGACCGGTGAATATATCATTGAGGGAAGGCTGGTTGTGAAGGTGTGCGGAACCGTTAAAAACCACCCTTAGTTTACTGGTTAAACTTTCCGGCGTTAAAACACAATGGTGGGATAGATAATAACAGTGAGAGGACTGAACGAATCGTCTGGAATAGATTCCATGTGGTTAAGCGCAATAAATTCGTTCATGAAATCGCGATATTGCGAGTAAATCTCAGGCTGCTTCTTAAGTCTCCGCTCAAGGGAATAAAACCTCTGTAAAGCCAGAGATCGGATATTTGGGAAGATAGGGGCTTCTTCCTTAAAAGGTAAGTCGACGATGAACCGACCAGACGGCTGGTCTCGCCGGTGTGTGCTGACAAATGTTTGTTCCGCCTTAATGTCATCGGGAGATAGACGAGGTGCATCAGGAAGTGTCTTTAATTCCCAGAATTTGTCCAATTGTTGATCAAGGGAAACCGTGTCCTCAAGATGACAAAACAACGTAGCGAGTGCAGGCGCTTTGAAATGATTTATTTTCCCCATAAGGACATAGCCGAAGAATATATTAATTGCGTCGGGCTGGTCTTTAGATCCAGGGATGCGTCCGTCCAACAGAATTTTAGAAAAGACGTCGGCACCCAGAAGGAGATCTATAGGTCCCCTGCGGGAAAATTGGTCATCGGCCAAGTGTAAATTAGTTAAGCGGGACCAGTGACTATGTTTAACATCCAAAGCAGGCTGGTCTTCGCAAATTTTTTTCAGAATTAAAGCGTCAGTGGTTAAAACATGATGAGTTTTATACATCGGTCTAAAAAATATAGTTACTCCACCTAAATCAGCTTGCGAATGCATGGCGCCTAAGCCGTTTATACGAACCTCTAGGGGAGACGGTCGTAAGCCTAACCGGCTAACTGTTTTTTGAGTTATGAATGACACATACTTCCTGAATCGAGTAAGCATCGTATCGGCTGGTAGATTCCGCGACCGTCGAGTATTTCGAGAAAAGCAGTGGAAAGTAAAACGCTCGAATTTGCTGAAGAAAAACCTGCAGTTACGGTTAATGGATTTATGTGGTCAGAGAGCTTAAGCGAATCATTGTTAGCGGGGGGTGACTGAAAGTGAAGTAATGTGTGATGTTTTTTGTGGCACATATGACAACTCCACGTTGAGGTACAGGTACTAAAACGGTGAGAGCCTAAACAATTTACGCACATTTTTCCCCTCTTAACCAGATTGTAGCGCTCTGCGGGAGATTTTTCCAAAAACTCGCTGCATTTATAAATAAAATGAGAATTTTTACAAACAGGACATTTTGGTCGATTTTCAGTTTGAGCCAGCATTGCTGTAGAGTTGGAGAAAGTTGGCTTTTTGAGAAAAATTTGCTTTGTTTTAGTTTGAAAATTAATATTGTCCAACGCCAGACAATTTTTACTTAAAAATTGCTTTAATTTAGCATAACTTGGAATAGTACTGTCGTTGTGATGAAGTTCAAATAGTGTAACTAGAGAAACCGTGAGTCTTTTCAGCATCATTTGAACAAGTATAAAGTCCCAGTGTTCCGTGGGTAACGCTAGTTTTTGCAAAGCTGCGACATTTTTTGAAAACGTATCTAATAAAGAGCGTAACTCTTTTGAATTATCTGAGGTAAGTTTAGGTGAGCATTCGAGGTTATTCCATAAATTTGAAGCAATAACTCTCACATTATTGAACCTTTCTTTTAGTAAATCGTAAGCAATTGTGTAATTATCTGCTGTGATATCCAAATGGTCGACAGCGTCCCGAGCGACACCTTTCAAGCAAGAAACTAATAGGTTAAATTTGTCAATCGCTTTTAAGTGGGGGACCGTATGAACACGCGCATCAAATTGATCGAGAAAACTCCGAAACTCGGTAACTTCTCCGCTAAATGTCGGTAACTCAGGCTTGGGTAAATTTAAATATGCAGAGATGGGCAATTGTTCACCCGGTATAGCCACAGATTGCATCGTCGGCTTCATTAAACGTTGCGTATAAATAGCTTGAATTCTATAATATTGAATATCGAATTTTTTTCGAAAATCATCCTCAATCTTGAATAGTTCATCCGCATTTTGCTTATCACATATGATTGATATAATTTTATTGTGAAGTTTATAAAAATTTGTTCGAGTTTCCTCAAGTTCTTTATACATAGCTTCAAGAATGGGATAAAAACTTTCATCTTCGGCATTAACTTTCAGAGCAACATCGTATATTTCGTTCAATTTATGAATTTCAGTCGACCGGAGTACTTTATTCTTTTTATAATCACCCATTTTTTTTTCTTTTCGGTGAGTAAAAAGTAAACGGTTCAAACCTAATAAAAACTGGTCAAACTCTTCACACACTAATATTAAATTATGTGCCCTGCTCTATTTACCTGACTAAAAATTAAATTATCTAAAATGAACAACTGCGTATTGTATGGACGAAAGGTACATAAAACGGAATGCGAAGGTCATCAATTTTTTTGTTTTGCTCAAGAATTAGATCTTGACAGAAAATGTTTAAATCCAATTTCAAGTAACTTAATTAAAATTGTGCCCTCTCCGTGGTAATAATCGAAATCAAAATAATGCGGATTGAAATAATGAATTTATTTTAATTTCTGTAAGAGAGAAATGTTTTCCGTTGCGTAGCTAAGGCTAAAAACTGCCGAATCCGGCTCGAAGGACCAAATAATTTCTTTTCGCGGAATAACCACCGATATGAAAAGAAAATGGGCGGCGCGCTCGGAAGAGCTTTAAAGTGGACTGTAGGCTTTAAAAATTTAGAAATACTACCGATCGCCAAACGGGCCGCTAAAGAACTTTAAGGTCTCACCTTAAGCGCACGCCTCCGTCTCCTCAGCAGGCCTGCTTCCTCTTTGCTGTAAGTTTTGCTACTCAATTCGCAGAACTTACTGGTGTTACGCCACGGACAACATAAAAACGCACAACGAAAATCTTTAGAATTAAAGTTCCCTTCGCGGAAAACGCGCAACAGATCTCGGTGCTGCCGCACACGGAATGTTAATGCACTCCCGATCGGCTTGACCCAAAAAAAAACTTTAACGGCAATACCGCGGTAAAAAATGTTCCAGCAACTTAAATTTTTATTTGAGTACGCACAAAATTATTTGTCCCAAAAACCCGACTAAACATAAGAAAACTTTCTCTCTTTGCAAATTACCAAAAAATAAAATAATAAAAAAAAATTATATATATATATACAAGGACAGACGTGCGATCTGTCCAAAAGGTATTGTCTTTCGCATGTTAATATTGCACAAAAACAAGGCCATTGAAGAAAAATAACTTGTGTGAACTTGCATAGTTGAGGCACTTTTCTTCTCTTGTCTTCTTTTTTTGTTTGCTAATTAGGTAGTCTTATTTGTGTATGAATTTCATAGTTGTTATTCCAGGCTGCCTGTAGATATTTACCAGACCGCAAAGGTTTCAAAAATACCATTGATGATGGAAAAAGGAACCCTTCCTGTCGAATATAAAGGCAAATCGATAAACGAAATGGACATTGATATTGACTATCCCGAAGAAAATGAACCTAAAGGTAGTCATGCAAAAAGTTTTCTGTTTACTACTAGTTTGCCATTTTATATCTAAATGGTTTCAGAGTCCTCGTCACCAAATGCGCCCACACAAGACAATGAAATATTGTTTGTGTGGAAAAAAGAAAATATTGAAGCGAATAAAGATAATAATATTTTTGACCAACCAATTCCTGAAAACATTAAGAAGAACGAAGATCAAGAAACTGCTGATATAGGTAATTCTGTATGTTTTTATTACTTTTACTCAGTTATACTGCCATAGGCATGGTTCATTAGAATAAGAGGTAAAAATAAACCGATGCGAGTTAACGAAAATTTAGGTCAGATTTGTTTTTAATAAATTTATTTTGTTACTGTGGTGTCAAAAAACTAATAATACTAGTGCGAATATAAGTGAAACAGTTGTGTGTTTTTGACAAAACACTGTTTCTTTCAGATAAGCCAAAAGTCTCCAAAGTTGTAAATAAACGATGTAAGTGACAAATACTAATTTATAAAATAACGACAAACACACCTTAACTAATTTTTCGAACACGTTTTATGAAAAATATTTTTTATTTTAGTATGGAGCGAGAATGAAGTGAATTGCATCCAGAAGGAGTTTGCACAATACCTCCAAACAAACACTTACCCACCGTGCAGCTAAAATAAGAGAATTTATTACAACCTTTAACTCTAAGAGAAGTGTATCCGTCATAAAATCCAAAATACAACATTTGCTGAAGTTAAGAAAACAGTAAAAGTTTACATTGATTTTGACATCTTGTAACTAATACCTCGATTAATAAAAAAGAGTGTTTTAAATATACTGATCCTTTTTATTTAGGGGGCCCAATTATTCCAGTAGCTGACATGGCACACCAAACTGTTACCTTCTTGGAATGCAATTGTTTTTCATGCTTTTCTTTGGGTTGTCGGGGCTCCAAAAGCGACAGTTTTGTTTGTTAACAATACCCCTCTAGATGGAAGTGAGCCTCATCACTGAATAAAATGTTGTCCAATCCTCCTTCGTTCCAAAACATATTCATCATTGCCTCACAATATTTTTTTCGTAATTCGTAGTCTGTGGGCTTTAGAAACTGCACCAATTGAATTTTGTAGGGATGGAACCGTAAGTCTTTGCTTAAAATCCGTTGCACACTTGAGCGATGAATATTCAGGGCCTGGCCATGTTTTCGAATTGAGCGCCTCGGATGTTCAGTCGCAGCACGTCGCACAATCTCAATATTCTCTGGCGTTCTGATGGACCTCTGTTGACCGGGACGCTTCTGATTTGCCACTGTACCACTTTGTCTAAATCTTTTAACCCACGATTTCAATATATTGTTTGACGGAGCATCACGTAAACGCCGATTATTGTAACGGTTACAAAAACGTCGCCGTGCCGCAACATACGAATCGTTCGATTTTAAGAACGCTTCGACCATAAACGCTCGTTGCTCATTTGACCACTGCTCCATGTTGACTGATAACCAGCGCTAACCCCCCCCCCCCCCAAATATTAAGTTGGATGTACAAGGCGCGTTTAAATAGTGAAATTTACTCTGAGTCACCCGTTATATATATATATATATATATATATATATATATATATATATATATATATATATATATATATATATATATATATATATATATATATATATATATATATATATATATATATATATATATATATATATATATATATATATATATATATATATATATATATATATATATATGTTATATCCGGAAATCCTATTGTCCATATGGGTTAAATGCCACCGACCTGCAAGAGTGCAACGATTGCGAAAACGTCGTGTCAACGATATGTCGCAACATCCGCAGCCGTCGACCCCGTCAACGTCAGCATAAATTTATTATAAATACCAATTTCTATTGTAAAACGTTGTTTGATAACATTCTCTCGTCGCGAGGTTATTATGTCCAATTTCATTTCGATTATAATTTTAATTTAAAGTTAATAAATATATTTTTTAAAAAGTTATTTTTGAAAAGTGAAATATAAAAATTGGCGCAGTCGTAGTAGGATCCGTTCACGTTGCTAGAACACGAGTATTCTAACTAGTGACGGCGGATTCCAATCCCTTAGACGGAAAGAAGAACCATCGCAGCCCAGTCGTGCCGGAACAAGGAACCTTCCATCACCGTTTCGAGAGGCAAGAATTCGGAGTAGGATCTGTTCACGTTGCTAGAACACGAGTATTCTAACTAGTGGCGGCAGATTCCGACCCCTAAATCTAGGGAACAACGAAGACAGCCCATCGTACCGGAACAAGGATAAACCCATCAACCGTCTCGAAAGGCAGCAATGAAAATAGTACTGTAAGTGTTAAGAATCGTTACGAATAATTTTATTTTTAATTTGCAACATTGTTGAATTTATTAAGTTCGATTACCCAAGGTTGAAAATTACCTATTTATTGAATTTCCCAACGTAGAATCGTTCCGCGATAATTATTTTGATTAAATTTTAGTCTCCGAGTTTAACTTGGCAATATTTAAAACAAAAAATAATTGTGTTTGAACTTCTTATAAATTTATTTGCTTTTTCTTAAAACCTAAAATAATGGCAACTCAATCAGACGAACCTAGTACAATGCTGGAAGTTGAACCATATAAACTTTCGGAAATTTTCTGTATCGTACCTGAATTTGAGGGCGACCAAATCTTTTTAGGAAATTTTATAAACGCGTGTGATTGTGCTTATAATATGGTAACAACGCAACAAAAAATTCTTTTAGTGATTCACATTAAAAATAAGCTCCGCGGTAAAGCAGCTCAATTAATTAATTCTAGGAATCCTGATTCGTATCTAGAAATAAAGAAACTATTAACTCTACACTTTGGTGATTCTAGAGATTTACCTTCCCTAATTCATGACCTTCAACGTCTTAAACAATTGCCCAATGAATCAGCATTAACATTTTTCAATCGTCTTCAAGTCCTAAATGCGAAAATGCATTCATGTGTTCAAAAATCCACCACATTAGGATCCAAAGAGCAAAAGGATGCTCAGATATCTTTAATTGAGACTATGACCCTTAATACACTTCTTACAGGTTTAGAACCTAGATTAGGTCAACTCATTCGTGCTAGTAATCCCACTTCACTTTTAGAAGCCCAAGCAAGGATTCGTCGAGAACTCCAACTCTCATATTTTGAAAATCAAAAATCTGTCAAATTAAATTCTCCTAAATCGCATTCTGCGAATATTCGAACCCCTCTTCAGCAACCCAAATGCACTTTGTGTAATAAAATTGGCCATACTTCAAATCAATGTAGAAGTACGCATCAGCATGTCAAACCAAATTTTTCGCAATATCCACAGCGACCTTCTAATTGGTTCCAACAAAGCCACATTAGCAACAACTCGAATCAAATACCGATGAAATCTTCAAACTCTTATCCTAAGCCACATTTTATGAATCCAAACCCGCAGCGAACTCATCATGCAAACTCAAACCCGATCTACATCGACGGTTATTCCGGAAATTCCCAGGAATTTTCACATGAAAATTACACTCTTCAAGAAGATAATGAACTTCAAAATCATTATTCTAACCATCCAGAAAACTGCGAACCAGAGCAGGATTTTCAAGAAAGCCCTTACGATATCCCACCAGACGAAATGTCTCCAGACCCGATTTTCGAAATCAATTCCCAAATTCAAACTCTGAATTTAGACAACATGAATCCCAATCTAAACTTTCCAGAACAGAACTTCTGTTAAACCCTCTTCTTACGGTAAATTCTAAAAATTTATACTATATTTTTGACGCTACGCAAAAATTCAAAATATTAATAGATACAGGCGCAGGTATTTCTATCTTTAAATATAAAACCGCTGAAAATTACATAACACGAGTTAAGGAAAATATTACCATCCAAGGTATAACAAATCAAACACTTTTTATTAAAGAATCCACACTTATTCCATTCACCGATAACGACAACCATAAAGTATATCTTTACGATCTTGACATCGAATTTGACGGAATTCTCGGTTTAGATTTTCTTGATCGCTACCAATGTATAATCGATTTAAAGTCCAAAAAACTTATAACGAATTTTAAAACAATGCCTTTGCATAAAGTAGGACACGAATCTGTTCTTCCCAAAATTTGTAAAAAACCTGAACAAAATATTCAAAATCGAATTTCAATCGAACCTAGGACCGAAAGAATTTTCAAATTAAAATGTAGTTTAACAAACACAGACGCTATTCTCCACTCTCAAGAATGTGAAAAAGTTAGGTTACCTAATGCTTTAGTTAAAGTAAATAACAAAGGTGAATTTTTTACTACTGTTATTAACGCTAATGCTATCCCAAAAACTATAGATTTTTCAAATTTATCTATCGAACCTATTAATACAAATCCTAACGAAAAAGAAATAAATAATATTTTCAATTTAAATCCTCAACCTGTTGATAGGCGCGGTATAATTCAATCCCAGTTACGCACCGATCATTTAAACGAAGAAGAAAAAGAATTAATAACACAATTATGTCTTGATTTTTCTGATATATTCTATTTAGAAGGAGATCATTTAAGTTTTACTAATGAAATTAAACATACTATTGAAACGAACAACGCCAGACCGATTTTTACCAAATCATATAGGTACCCACATGTCCACAAACAAGAAGTAAAGTCACAAATCAACAAAATGCTCGAACAAGGAATCATTCGACCTTCCACTTCTCCATGGTCTTCCCCTGTTTGGGTTGTCCCAAAAAAATTAGACGCTTCTATGAAACAAAAATGGCGCGAGGTCATCGACTATCGCAAACTAAATGAAGTCTCTGTCGACGATAGATACCCTCTTCCCAATATTTCCGATCTCTTAGACCAGTTAGGCAGATGTCAATATTTCACTACTTTGGACCTAGCCTCTGGGTTTCACCAAATTGAAATTGATCCCAAGGACGTTGCTAAAACTGCATTTTCAGTTGAAAATGGTCATTTTGAATTTCTCCGTTTACCCTTCGGACTAAAAAATTCTCCATCCACTTTCCAACGTGTCATGGACAACATTCTCTTAGGTCTTCAAAACGAACGATGTCTCGTTTACATGGACGATATTATCGTTTATTCCGCTACCATACACGAACATATACAAAGGTTAACTGATGTCTTCAAACGCCTTCGTGGTGCAAACCTCAAACTCCAACCTGACAAGTGTGAATTTCTTCGAAAGGAAGTAGCTTATTTAGGGCATCTCGTGACCCCAGATGGAGTCAAACCCAACCCTGAGAAAATAGACGCTATTCAAAAAATTTCAGAACCAAAATCACCAAAAGACATTAAATCCTTCCTTGGTTTAGCCGGTTACTACCGACGTTTTATCCCCAATTTCGCTAAGATCTCAAAACCTTTAACTAGACTTCTCCAAAAAGACACACCCTTCGTATTCAATTCAGAATGCAAAAATTCATTTAATGAGCTTAAAAACGCTCTAATACGTGACCCAATACTCATTTATCCAAATTTCGAGGGAACTTTTGTTCTAACCACCGATGCCAGTGCATTTGCCATTGGTGCAGTTCTTTCACAAGGTCCAATTGGAAAAGACCTTCCCATAGCATATGCCTCTAGAACTCTATGTAGTGCAGAGACGAAATATTCAACTATAGAACGGGAACTTCTCGCCATAGTATGGGCAGTTAAACACTTCCGCCCTTATCTGTTCGGAAGAAAATTTACTCTCGTTACTGATCATCGTCCTTTAACTTGGCTATTTTCGATAAATGATCCTGGTAGTCGTTTAGCTCGATGGCGTCTTAAGCTTGAAGAATACGACTATACCATTGTGTATAAGCCCGGTAAAAAAAATAAAAACGCAGACGCTTTATCCCGTGTTAAAATTAACCATATTCAAGATTGTGTCGATCTCCAAAAGAAAATTTTTATCCTTGCATCTAATAACGATGACATTCACAACCGACCATCCACAAGTAAAGAAGAAATCGTTCACGATGACAATTCTAATAATTCAGATATCGAAGACGACACAGCGGAAGTTACAGAAGAATACAACAACTTCGCATACCTTCACAAAACCACATCCCTTATAGATTATTCCAAAATAGAAACCTCTAATTCGCAACTTCTCGACAAAAACCACAAAGGTATTGTCACTTTCTTTTGGCAATCAAAACTTGATGATTTGCATAACAAAATAATGGACGATATTTTTGAAGAAGATATAAATTTTACGTTTAACAAAATTAACATTTTTTCTAGCAAAACCGTCAAAGGCAGGAAATATTATATAATCCCTCTTCCATATGACAATGAAACTGTAGTTCAACATTTATTCTATATTTTATTCACAGCTAAAAATGACTTTGATCTTTCAAAACTGTATTGTATTGAAAATAATTTACAACTTCCAATATTAGAAGTATTCTCCTTTATATTTTCCGAAAAGGAT